GTACTGGTTGATTTTAGTTTAATACATAGTTCAGTTTAATTTGTTCTCCAGTTGTCATCAGTTGAAAAAGTTTCATGAATGTAGGTAAAATTGAGAGCTACACAGCATTTTCCTGAAGAATACATGTATAAATATTTGCAGTGATTCTGGTTGGTTGCTGCATGTCTTGTGCAGCCCATTTCACAAAGCTTAGCAGAGTGGATTTTGTTTTCACTTTGTGACTTGCTAAATTTATCTTGAGAATGAAATGCCAACAGGAAAATTTCTCAGGTGCTGTTTTTCAGTGATTTTCATAATGTTTTTTAAGTTGGAAGGAAGATGATTAATTTGGATATTTGGGCAGAAAACAAAATCTGCAAGGGAAACAAATTGGATTATATGAGGGGGTTTGGAGGGTACCTTATTTCAGACAGAACACAAATTGTAATTATGTATTGTTTTATCTATTCCATGGATAGTACTTTCTGAATAATCACAGCAGGACATCAATCATGGCAGCTATTGCAACCCAAACCAGATTTAGCAGTTTTCTTTCTGGAATGTAACTTAGTCAATCCTTATAAAAACCAACTCTAGGATGTCTACTAGAATTCCAAAAGTATTGGTATGTGAGTGTGTGTAGGAAGTCAGCTGAGTTTACAGCAAATTCTTAATTAATACGTAGATTTTTTTTTTTTTACTCTAGTTAGTCAGAAAATGTTGTTCTTCATGGGAACACCTGAGATCAATCATAGAGCCAGAGAATGGTTTGGGTTTGAAGGAACCTTTAAGATCCTTAAAGTTCTGACCCTCCTGCCCTGAATTTGGAAGGGGTTAATCCTTTGCAGCCCACTGTGAATATTTTAGGCTTAATTTTTTTCCCCTGTCTTCAGCGCACAAGCTCACATGAAATTACAGAAGCAAAGCAATATATTGACTTCCCTCTGAGTACAGAGCTTTGAAATAAGCTTTTGCACCCAGGTGGCTCAGCCAGCACAATTCAAACAATAGAGACATCTTGGGCTGTTAGATCAATGTCTCATACTAATGAAGCTTCTGTTTGAAATACTGTGAGGATGAATCCTAAAAATCAATCTGTGTGTCTTTAGGCTAGAAAAAGGTATTGTTAAACATTTATCCTTTCTGCCTCTTATTTTGGTGTTTAGTTCTTTTTGTTAATTATAGTTTCAGTCTTGTTAGTTATTATTTCAGTCTTACAAGGTCCCGAAGCTGCTGTTGGTTGGGTTGCACAGTTGAAAAGAAGAGAGGGAAAGAATCAGCCCTGAGATGCTCTTTCTCTGCTGTCCCCAGAGCAGAGAAAATTGAAGAATTAAAGGCTGTGGAGGAATGAAAGTGAATCGGGAGGAAAGGAGAAATGAGGGAGCACTGACTGTGTCCTTAGGGAACCTGCTCAGAATTCTGACAAAGCCAAATTTCAGCTCCAAATGCCTGCTTGAATTTGAAATGTTTTTATTTTGAAGCATCGTGATCTCAAACAAAGCTTCAAATCCAGGGCAGGACTCTGCTTCCTAGACAAAAGTCTTGACAGACTTTGGGACAGGCTTGGTGCTTATCTCATTATCTCATCCTGGGGATCTGGATGGGGTTTTGGCTGAACAGAACACATTGGATCTGCCTGAGAGGAGTTAATTTTCCCCTCTGCAGCCCTCCCAATGCTGAGCTGGGAGCTGGGAAGGTGCTGAGAACACACCAGTGTTTGGGAGCACAATGTTCTTTCCACATTCATCACTTGGGGGTGGACAAAATCCTGGGAGGTGACACAGTCAGGACAGCTGGCCCAGACTGACCAAAGGCTGCACCTTGTCACAGGATATCTGCTCAGCAGTGGCAGCTAGGAGAAGGGGAGTGTGTGTGTTCATTATTACAACATTTGTCTTCTGGAGCGATTGCTGTGGGTACTGCAGCCCTCCTTCCTGGGAATTGGCTAGACATTGCCTGCTGCTGGGGAGTGGAGAATAAATCTTTTGTTTTCCTTTGCTCCTCTGCACTGGTTTTGCTTTATTAAACTGCCTTTGTCTTGACTCATGAGGGTTTTCTTTTTTTTTTCCCATCTTATTTCCTCTGTCTTGCTGAGGAGGGGAGTGACAAAGCAGCTTGATGTGCAACCAGCAGCCAGCCAAGGTCAACCCACCACACAGAAGAGCTGAAAAGATGGGGGAAACTTTTTTTCCATCTTATTTTCTGTCTTGCTGAGGAAGGGAGTGACAAAGCAGCTTGATGGGCAACCAGCAGCCAGCCAAGGTCAACCACCACACAGAAGAGCTGAAAAGATGGGGGAAAATAACCATTTTAACTTGTGTTGTAATGAGACTTTAACCCCCTTGAAACCTCGAGTTAGAGGCAAGCCTGCTCCTCCTGCCTGGCCTTGTCACCTTAAAGCCTACATCTTTAGTGCCCTCTTCTCCAAGTGCAGGTGGCATGCCCTGGAAAGGAAGGTTCGCTGTGTAATTGTTCCTGCCCTGCCTCCATGAGAGCACAGAGCAGGGGATGCTGTGCTGCCCCAGCTGCCAGGCCATGGGCTCTGAGCTTTGGAGCCAGGCACTTAACTGAGAAACTTCCAAACCTTCGGTTCACAGCTTGCCCAAGGACACACACAAATGACCCTGCTACAAACAGGAGCAGGGATCAAGGACTTGCTGCTTTACAAGGAGCAGGGGCAAGTCCCTACAGCCTGCCATGGGTGTGGAACTGTGGAAGCTGATGTGGTATGAGCTCTGATCCTAAACTAGGGTCTGTGTTTGTACTGGCACTGAAGAAAAAGCCATAAAAAAAACCCCAGACACACTTTCTCATATTTTCCAGGCAGCCCATGTGCATAGAGACCACATGTAATGCCCCTGCAGGGCAATGCCCATGGATTGTGATGGCTCTGGTAGGAAGCTGCAGCCCAGCTGCACCTTGGGCAGGCTCTGTGTGCCTGTGGCACAGCTCTGCCCGGTGCAGTTGGTCCAGAGACAAATATTCCAAATATTCCATCTTCTCCCTCATTGCCAGGCTGAGCCAGGAGCAGTGACAGTGAAACACTGCCTCGGGGGCTCTCTCAGAGGTGCAGATGTAACTCTTCCCTTATCTGACTTACAAAGTGTGGTTGCTCCTGTTGGTGCAGATTTATGGGGTGTGTCAGGCAGTTTTCCCTGGCAGTGGGATTATCCTTGTGGAATTATCTAGGGAGGGAGTCTTCCCTTGGTGCAGCCTGTGCTGGGGGCTGGAAAGGGCTGTGCCATGAGGAAGGGGATTATGCCTGTAGGATGACATTGGAGCATGACCCCTCTGCTGTGAATGGAGCCAGCACTGGGTCAGCCAGCAGGTGAGCCTGTGGGGAAAAAAAATCCCTTTATTTCTTGGAGATGGAGTGCTGGCCACAATGAAGTTTGCTCACAGGAGCTCTGCAAGCGTTGACTGCTTTAACGTGCATCAAGGGCTTTGGAGATGGAAATGTCTGCATAAATCCTCAGGCTGTTGATGGTGACAATACTGGTTAGAACCTGGGTGGAATTAGGGACTTTTTTCTTGGGATAATGGACTCATTTTGCTTTATTGCTCTGTCAGGCTTTACCCTTCAGTGTCGCTGTGCTGTAGCTCATAACTAGAATTACATCCACAGCAGTAACTATTATTTCCTCAGTTCCCACTGGATAAGGTCTGTGTAATGGCCTCTGAGGATAATGTTTCTCCCAAAACCTGTGTGTTGCCAGTTTGCACAAAATTGGGTCTAAACACTGTGGATTTTTCGAGTTGTTGAAACACAAATCCTTTTGAAAGCAGTGTGATGGGAATTTAATGGCAGAAAACTTCAACTTTTCAGCTTTTTATACGGTGTTAATTGTCTTAGCTGGGGTGATGCCAAATCTATCTATATGTATTTAACACAGCCTATTAACATTTAGTTGCTTTTGCTGGACCTTAGACGTGTCCTAGTTTGAAATCCTGACATCTCTCCAAAATCTGTAAATCAAGAATGATAAAACAGAATGCCAAAAATCGCTCTTAAATGCAAAAAGGAATTGAAAGGAAAGGAGCAGGGTGAGAAGATGTTAGTTAGAGATGGCAAGGCAAGCCCATGAGCTGTGTGTCCCTGGGTGCTGCTGGCAGGGGAGCACCTGGGAAAAACAAATGTGTGAGCACGTTGTGCATCTCTGAGTGCCTTCTTGGGGGGGAAAAGGATGGGTTACCACAAAAGGTATTTTGCTTAATCTTAGAGCTTACTTCACCTCAAAGGCAACACAGAGTTTAGAACTGTCCTTTTGAATAAGCTGTAAAACCTCACAGGGGCACTTTTGACTTCCACAAATGCTCTGGACAGGATGAAACCAGTTGGTATTTGGGTGTTTTTTGCTATGTTGTTTTTGTTTGTTTGTTAAACATCCCTGTGACTTTAGACAATATACCTGAACTATCTGTATCTCCCCTCTTTGATCTACTTTATCAGGACACGCAAACTTTAGTGAGTACTTGATGCTGTGCTAATGAAATCATAACAATATTTCCTCATGTTCCTTTAACTGGACTCTTTTCCTTTTTGCTCCAAAAGTTGATGCAAAACCAATTAAAGCATGTTATTGCTAATTAGCAGTCCTACTAAGTATCCCATCATTGTGTAAAGTAGATAAAAAAATTCCATTCTACTCCACCAGAATTCTTTGTGTTTTAGTTTATTGGAACACTACAGCAAATATAGTAGTTTTTAGATTCTGAGGGATCAGAGAAATTCTCAGACCTCCACACTTCAACACACATCACTCAATTCAAGTGACAGTGACAGCTGTGCATTTCTGTATTGGGAAATATATTTTAAGTATTTGGGGAATAGCTTACAGAGGTTTTTAAAGCCATTTATTAATTTATTTATTTTTGGTCTCAGCAAAATTCCAGGCTTTCTAGTAGGGCACGTTGGTTTGACAGTGACTAACAGTGTACCTAAATTGATTTCTGTCTCTGTTTCACACAGAAATAAAGCATTTCCTAGGGCCATCTGTCACCTGTTTTCTTTCTGTTCCCAGGATTCAGTCTTGCCTTTCTTTTCCCTCTCTTTGGCCTCCAGTTGTCCCTGCTGATCCCAGAGGGGTTGTGCCTGGGTCTGAGCACTCTGCTGGCTTAGGGAGATGTGAAATTTGAACCTGGTGTTTACAGACCCTGGTGAAAGCCAAACTCTTTCCAGAGTCACTGTTCTGGTGGAAGCTCAGCAATAAGGTTGGTTCTGTAGCCATGGGCAGGAGCTGCTTTGCGTGTGCTCTCCTTTTGACTTTGATGTGCTCAGATAGAGCATCCCTGACCCACTGCTATTAACAGATTTCCCTCTTATGGGTTTCTTATTTGACATTCTCAAACTGTGCAACAGAAGGTGAGAGTTGGAGCACTCAGGGTACTTGTTCCAGGCAATTGCCATACAACACTATTTATGGAGCTTGAATGTCAAGCATTTTAATAATCTCAGCTTGGCTGACCAAGATTTAATTATTAAGAACAATGTTCCACAACTGTAAGCCCACCATGTACATGAAAAAATATTGCTGTTTCTATTTATTATCAGTTCTGCTTAGCATTCTAGGGCTTAAAGGCCAATGAAGAGTCTGATCCCATTAGAGCTATAATAAAATTTTAAGGCAATAAATATTCACTGTCTGTAGTGTAAGGGAGGGTCCCTTGTGCCATGCTCTCAGTTGTTACACAACCAAAATATTGATGTCTGTTATTGCAATGCCAGACCTCCATTTGTTAATATCTCAGATATGTCTGGTTTATAAGCATGTTGATTTGGTTGGGTAAGGTTTTTTACAGCTCTGGGGTTGTTTGTGTAAGCAAACAGAGCACCTGGGTGAGGCACCTCTACCCAGGACATGCAGAGATGCTGATCAGGATCCACCATCCAGCCTAAACTGATTTATTTATGGCTTCTCTTGTAACTGTGGCAGGGAACATGCTGGAACAGCAAAATTCAGCAAAGCAAGGACATCCTCAAAGGGGAGCTTTGCTGAGATCAGTGGCAGGAAAAGTATTCCATGGATTAAATCAAGCAACAGCAATGGCCACAAGGCTTGCCATGGATTGTGCAGAAGTTCCTCACTTGTTTCCAGCACCAGCTCCATATGAACAGTTTTCCTCACAAGACCAGGCTAGTGCAGCTCCTGGAAGAAACCTCTTCCAACTTCTTGTTGCACTTAATAAATGTGAAACTGCAAGGATAAGATGGTTGATGCAGGAAGAACAGAGTGTGCCACAATGTTATAAATGGTCATTTTTACAGGGTACCTCATTGTGACACATTTATTGGTGCTATTTTCCAGAGGCTGCCCATAGCTAAAATCATATATCTTGGGGACAAAGCTTTGCACATTGCCAGCCACATATGGCTCATTGTGGAAACAAACAGCAACTGGGTTCAAAAAGGCATTTTTTTCTCGCAGCAACTGATGCCTCAAACCATGGAAATATATTATATTTTCAGTAATTACTCTCTGCAGTTCATAATTACCCAACAATGCAGAGTGGTGGGAGTTTCCAGCAGAAGCAACTCAACTGTTCAGCACCAGCAGGAGAGATGAAAATCAGACATGACCCCTTCCTCGTGATATTGGCCTGCTCTCTGCTGGACTCTCACTTGAACCCAAAATTTTGGAACTCCAGGAATTATATATCCACAGGGACTACATAACACACCTAAGGGAAAATAAGTTTTAAAGTTATTATCACTCTGTGTCCCCCACTGGAACAGAGAATACAACTTTCAAATTATTTTGTATAATAAAACACTGAGTTCAAGAGCCATTGATCAGCTCAACTTCTCATCTCCTGCTACCCTTGGGCTTAAAAGAGATGGGTTTTCCACACCCTGGTTTATCAAACACAGATTTTTACCAAATCTCCAATGCTCAAATCAAAAGAAAACCCAATATTTGACTCAAGGGAGGAGTGGAAGAGAGATGACACTGCTTAAAACTGCCTTAAGAATACACTTGCCACTCCTGTGCTCTTCAGCCACCTTGAGATATTTTCATCTGCTTCTTCACCTATATCTTACTTGGGCATCTAAGTATTTCATATGAAAAAATTGAAGTGAAATATTCTTGTGTCAAATCAAAGGAAGATCATTGCCCTGTAGGCTGTGCCTCCTCCTCCTGCTAACATTGTTTTTCCATGGGGACAATGCTGGTGTGAGAAGTCCCCTATCTTAGGGGCAGCTCAAAAAACAGAAGGTGGAGTTTTGTGCTATGATATTGAACTGTGTTTTGAAGTCACTGCAGAAAATCCAGGTAATCCCTAAAGAGATGGGTGATGACACAACAAAATAAATTTTTATGCACACCCAAGGTAGTACTAAACAGGATGGGAATTCTCCTATGGAAAGAAGAGCAGGAAATGTAACAAAATCACTTTTTAAACTAGTTAAAGTGGCTAAAGACAGCCACTGGCTTGTACCATGCATGTCTGGGTAAAATATTTTCAAACTGTTTTTCCTTCAGTGTTACATTAGGTTCTCTGCCCAGGCTGTAGTTTCAGCCTCAATCATCTACATTTTACAGCCTCAGACAAACATCTTTATGCATTTTTCATGCATTCATAATTTTTCAGTGACCTTGTAAATGTCTTCACTTACTTTATTGTGCTTTTTAAAACCTCTCTCTAAATCTCTTTGTTGTATTGTCTCTTTTTTTTTTTTAATAAACTCATAGAATTTAGCTTTGAGGCTGAAAGGCACTGAAATAGAAATGGGACCAAATGACACAGCTGTTGACTGCTTTCCTAGGACTTGCCCCACTTTTGCTTGTAAAAATTCTAAAGTTTCTCTTCAGTGACAACTTTGATTAGAGGAGTGACTAGATTCAGAATGTATCTGTTCAAAACATAATTATATTTGTTTTTTTATGTTAAAAGCTTAAACCAATTGATTTGGTTTTTATTTTCACATCTCTTTAGATTTTTTTTTTCTTCTCAAATTTATCTTCAGGTTAACTATTTTATTTTAATCTAAATAATCTAGATGTTGATGGTTCTTAGTGGAGCCACTTTTCTAGTGAGGCAGGTCCTCAATTGCTGTGATCCAGGGTAGATATGACAGTGAAGAGCTTAAATGTCAGATGTCATTCATTTTCCCTCTAAAGACAGAAGTTAAACAGCAAATATAACCCAGAATTATTCCTGTTGAGGTTTAGTACTTATTTTTTTTATTTACATAAATAATTTTTCAATGCAGTCATTAATTTTGTCATTGTGGAACAGGGTGTACAATAAATCTCATGCACCAGGTGGGAAGATAAATGAATAAACCAAAGAACAAAATCACCTTGTAGGAAGATGTAAAATATCCCAAATATTATATTTTTCCTATTCTTTATTTCTATTTAATGTTTTGTTAGCTGTAAAAGAAGTTCAGGCTTGACTACAATAAATTGCCTTTTTAGTCAATCCTTTAAACATTCTGTAGTATCATAGTATATATATTAATATAAAATATTTTAAGCTCAATGTAGTTAATTAGCACTAAGCATTTATTAGGGATCTCTAGGAGAAGAATATTTTCTGTCCAAATTGGGGAAAGAGCTCTGAGCTGAGAGGTCTCTGTGCTCCTGCACAGGTGACAATGTAGTGGTTGTATATTATTTTGTTGCTTTAAACTTGGGGGTTTTTTTTGGTTTTGGTTTTTTTTTTGTTTTTTTGTTGGAGCTGTGGCTCTTTGTATCACTTTTCATGGCTGTCCAGATCTAGTCTGCCTCAGGGCAGCGATTTTCTGGGCTTCAGAGAACTCTTGTGTAAGTGGAAAAGGAAGATAAATAAACACACTGGTTACCCAGCCAAGATAAAGTACAGGTCTGCTCTTGCATAACATCTAGCTCTCTGTATTTATAAAAATGAAGAATCATTTCAGCTTGCTTTAAGTTCCCCAGAGGAAGAAGAGCAATTTCTTTGGGGAGAGGTAAATACTTCAAGAGAAAAATATCCTTTTTTTTACCATTATCTAGATCATAGTTTCCAGTGGGAATGCTAAGTAAAAAATTGCAGGTATTTACTCTAAAGGGTTCTGTACATCAACTGCTTTGATCAAGACATGACAACAGTCATTAGGATTGCTGTTCCTGTCAGAACTTGGGATGAAGTTTCCAAAAGTAGTCAGCCTCCTTGTTCTGCTCTATTTCAGTGCAAATTAGGGTAAAAGCTGAATATCCAGATCTGAATGCTTCAAACCCTTCCAGCAGATATTTGTCTCTGTTTAGCAGCCATCAGCCAGTTCTATGTCTTGATGTGCAATTTTTAATATGAACTAAGAGTTTAATGACAAACTGCCTCTTGTTGTGGACCTCGGTTTGGTGTCCCTAGTTCTCATACTGAAGAGAGTGTGCACAAACAGCCCCATTCTCTTTGGAATTCCTGATTTTGCCTCCTTTTCTTGCATCCTTTTGCTCTATCTGCCTTGAGCATCCCTACCCCAGTGTGACAGTTCCAAGCCTGCTTAGCTTGGCTGCTTCTAGGCTATTCTAGATCTCAGCTGATCTTTCTTTTTTCTCTCGTTTTTGACCTTTTACATTTCTCTTATTAATAGGGAGATGCAGGAAGATGCAGACTCTTGCCTATTTGTTAATCTCAGAGACATTTTTCTGGAGAATCTTTCTCCTTCTCCTCATTATTAGAGGCTCCTGCTACATTTTATGCTGTCAGATACTTGTCAGGCTTATGTTTGCACCTCCCTGCTAATTACTGAATAATAATTTATCTACATATTAACTACCACAGTCTTCTTGTCTGATTTCAATGGCTTTATTGCCACTTCTGTTTTATGGATGACTCTTCATTAGGATCTGGATAGAGATATCACTGTAGGGCACTTTGTAGTGCTCTATTTCCAAAAATAAAACTGAACCATTTCAAATGGTGCTGGGACTGGAGGGTGTGTGTGAAAATCTTTGGAAAAGCAGAAAGTAATTTAAAAAATGCAAAGTGTTTTTAGCACTTTGGCAAAGTATTTATCACATTTCAGGTGTGGGTAGGAGGTGCATGTACAGGGTGTAGTCTTCTCAGCTCCTGAAAACTACTGGTTATAGATCAATGTAACCCTTGAAATTGTATTTTCATTAACAAAAGAGAAAAATGGAAAGTGTTTTTCATGGAGTTTGTGAAAGAGCTGTTTACTTGTAAATTTTTAGAACAGATATGTTAATTTTGCTTTAAGTGTGTTTTTTTTTTTTTGTTGCATTCTTCTCTTTTCAGTTTTGCTACTGGGGAAAAAAAGGCTCCCCGAAATGAGAAGGGAGCAGGGGAAATGTGAAATCACATAATTTTATTTTAACCTCTTTTTTTAAAATGAAGAATTTATTGTGATTTTGTTAAAAGCAGCCTGCTTTTCAGTGAGATATTCCAATGAGCTTTTGTTTGTCTTTAACACAGAACTTAAAATTATTGCAATCAGCCTTTGAATGTCCAGGCTGACCAGGCACTGTGATTTTGGGAAGCTCAGGGGGACTGAAGGACGTGCTTGAGAGGGAACACTTGAGCTGTGTTTAATTCCAGCCCTTCTGGAGGGCTCTCCAAGGAGCTGCAGTGTGATTTCTGGCCCTCTTTTCATGTGCTTCTCAGCAATTGTTCCTGCTTTTTCCCTGTTAATGCTCACAGGGAGCAGTGGGGTGTCCTGGGGTCCTGCTGTGGGGCAGATGCTGGATTTTAGCCACTGGCTCTGCCAACAATCAGCCCCTTTCACTGTCCCTTACTTTGAAATGCCAGGCAGGGCACTGCAGGTTGAATGGCACAATTTGTGCTTCTGAAATGCATAAATGTGCTTTTTATACTTTTCATCTTTATGTCCTTCAGAACTTGCTTTTAAAAAAGAGTGGTCAGGTTAAGGCAAGATTATGGCACTGAAATCACTCCTTTTGGGGTGTTCAGTTCAAAATTAACTAATTAGGACCACTGATTGGTCACTGTGAAAAGTTTTTATGGCAATATGTTACTTTTGGCTGAACTTTGGATACAGGTATCCCTGGTCTAGAATGACCAGATTTTGGGTATGTCCACAGCGATAAATGTATTTTAATTTACCAGAAAAGCAAAGGGAGGATCTCCTCAGTTTCTTGTATTTTCTATTGAACTTGAATAGGTTAATTTTGAAGGGAATTGGAGCTATGAGAAGCAGAAGTTTGATAATATCATAAAACCATGGAAGGGTTTGGGCTGGGAGGAACCCTAAAGATCATCTCCTTCCAACCCCCTGCCATGGGCAGGGATGCTTTCCACTGTCCCAGGTTCCTCCAAGGCCTCTCCAGCCTGGCCTTGAATGCTTCCAGGGATGGGACAGAGCATATTTAAACATATTGCCACATATTTCAAACGTATTTCCATAATATATTTCATCAGAAATTAGGGGAAGAAACAGAATTTTATGCAGCAGGCGTGCTGTGGGCTGTTTCCAGCTCAGCATACATGGAACCTTTTTTTTTTTTTTCTGAACAGTTTAATGGATTGTGCAGTGAGTAGGCAGGTGCTGGGCTTTTGGAGCACTTCTTTTACACAAAACTCTTCTTTTTTCTGTTGTGATCTGGGTAAGAGCCTGTTCCCACATTTAATAAATGAGTGACTAGGTACTAGGCACAAGAAAAGGACCGATCCCCTTTCTTGAGACACAGTGCCTGATGTTATGTGGGTTGACTGCTGCTCACACTCCCTGTCCTGGAAGATTTAAACCCTGTTTGCAGGACTGTAACCCCCAGAAGAAAGCAAACATGAGGGATGAAGTGAGAGAGCTGAAATCACCTTGAATGATGGTGCTCCATTGCAATCACAGCTGGCTTTGCTCTTGTGGTAATGGAGCTGCTTGCAGGGGTTGGGCTGTAATGAAGTTTTGTGCTGTAGACAAGGGGGTCTGATGTAATCAGATTGATGGAACAAAATCAGATATTCAAGGGAGAGGCAATTAATCCTTTGTTTAAAGGCGTTCAGATCAGCAAGACTTCTCCTGTTAAGG